GGGAAGAAATAGTTTTTTTGTTTGTTTGTTTGTTTGTATCTTTAACTAATTAGTCTACCATATTTTTCCATTGCTTATAATTTTTTTTTAGTATATTCTCCCTGTGGCTGGTCTCTTCAAACTCAATGGCCTTCTCAGCTCTCTGAGTGCTGACCAGGTCCCCTTCCCCGCAGTGCATGACTAGATAGAAATGATGGTGTGTGTTCTCGCTTGTTGTCTGATTTGCTCTGGAAACTTCCTAAGTTTCCCTGTTTGGCATAGCCTGTTTTAGCTTTCTCATAAAGACCTCTTTTCAGGGCTTAGAGAATTGGCTTTCATTCCGAATACAAATATAACATTTCATCAATTTACGTCAAATTAATCCCATTGTTTTTCTACATAAACTAAGAGCATTGTGTTTCTGCTTCAGTCTTAGTGTGGACTGTAAGAAGACAAGCCTACCTTGACCTGAGCAGCTAGGTTGTCGATTCCAGCGATTCTGTTCACTGTCTGGTGATCTTCAGTTTAGATGAAAGGCAGTTTTGCCCAGTGGTCAGCACTTGGCAGTTGAATCAAAGTGCAGATGGACGTTGTTTTGTGCCCATTTGTCTTCTGTCTTCTTTGAAGGAAATAGAGTGCTGCTGCTAGGAGCCAACCTGTCTCTTTTTGTTATGAAAGGTCTTTTAATAATTAAATATTTAAATGCCATATTTCCCAGATCTCTGAGCAGTTGAGGGCTGTTTATCAGGTACAGCTACAGTATAAAATCTGCCTGGAGAGCTGGGTCCAAGTTCAACTGTACTGGCTCTCAACTTAACAGGTAAAACAGGGTTGGATTAAATATAAAGTATTTTTGTAAGATACTTAAAAGTTTATACTAGTTTAAAACATGAGACTTATTGTTTTTGTAGTCTGAAATGAGATGCAATGAACAGACAATTATAACATTTAACAGTAAACACAGGTGCATTTAAGTTACCTGTATACACAGACGCAGTGAACAGAAATTGGGCAAAGTGGATGCTCTTGGTGGGCCCTACCAAAGGCATGCCACTGTGCAAAACACACATGCAACAGGGTCAACAAGAGGAATTTAGAGACAAAAACATAAGTAAACCAGGGGACCAGGCAGGGTATACTTCAGTAAAGATGGCAGAATTTGGTCACCTGACCTGGCTCTCATTTAAGATGGCAGTGGAGTCTCCTGATCTCAGTTAAGATGGTGGTAAGGTCACCTGGCCTCAGTCAAAATGGCAGCGATCACATGTTGTTTGGAAGAGAGGCCTAGAGGTGTGATCCACCCTGTTGCCGAGCCACCATGCCACAAGCCGTGGTGGGGAGCAAAAGACTGAAATTCAAAACAGCTACTTCGTGGATCCGACCAATCTTGTTGACAGCAGTACCAGTGGCCGGGACATTTTGAGGAAAAGTGGAGCCAACGAAGCCATTGGGACACCGGTGGAGTGCCGTTTTATACCATAACTGAAAATGTGGAAACCCACGACAATACAAGGCTTATAGGGAGACATCTCCCCTCTATAGGTGGGGTGTGAAACAGCAGTGAACACCACAGGGCTTGTAGAAGAGCGCCCTCTGTCTACAGGCTGGGTGTTAAAGTCTGACGGACTTCAGTCCGGGTGACTCGGAAGCCAGAGGGGCTAGAGGCTGCTCCGAGCAGTCTCTCATGGGGACCACTGATTAGCGGTCCAAAGAAAAAAAGAAAAAGAAGAGAAAAAAGGAGAAAGAAAAATCCGAGGGACCTTGGGCCTCCAGTCAAATACACTGTACAGCGTGTGCAGTGCTAGCGTGGGAGGACTGACCCCAGTTGTCTGGTCACGTTTTTTAGCTATGGAAAGCACAAAGGGCTCAGCTGTAGCCGTGAAGGCTTTGGTTGGGGCTGGAAGGGGACAGCTCACCACCGAAGCTGCTGGTGTGTGTAGAGGTCAGCGCTCATGCAGATGGAACACGTGGTTGTTGTGGAAAAAATACCCGGTTCTGGATCTTGACCCTGGCAGGGGTGCAGGAGGGCCTACTGAGTCTGATGGCACCAATGTAATTGTTTAAATAAAATGAAAACGTCTGTTTTCACAAACCCAAAGAATTCTTGTGAGTTCCAGGGAGCTGAATTGAAGGATCCACCTTAAACAGGTCAGATACACCCCTCTCAATTCCCTGGTTCTAAATTTTTTTTCCTAAACTTAACTTTGTCCTCGGTTCTGCCAATACCTTAAACAGATATAAGAGACACCAGACATTTCCATAGCACAAACACTGGACAGGAACAAAGAGACCAGCTACCCCAGAATGTGACCAGCACCCAGCTTTCTCAGGGTCCCTCTTAAGATGATGCCCACAAATAAGCAGGAAGCAGTCTTGGAAATCTGCCACCCCAATTCCTTTAAATTGTTGTGCCTAACCTCCTGCCTTTCTATTATAAAAAAGAGATGGGAATGTAATGATCTATCCTGTCCCTTTAAGAGACAAGCCACGCCCACTCCCCCCACCATCTGCGGAGGCAAGCTGATCTTCAGCTTCCATCCTGAGTCCCTTCCTTTCCATCTCTCTCTCTAAAAGGAAGCTTCTGTCTTCCCTCCTTTCCTCCCACTCCTTCCCCCCACCCTTCCTTTTTCCCCG